CCCCACCCCCTCCATTCCCAGCCCAGCCCTGCCCCTGTCCCCTGCCACTACTCTCCATCCTTCAGCCCCACGCTGCCCAGCCCACTAGACTTTCAGCCCTTCCTGCCCCTGTCCCCAGCCTTTCTGCCCCACTCCCCATCCCACAGTGACCCTGCACCTCCCCCCAACCCCCATCTCCCTGCAGGTGACCAAGCGGGGGGACCTGGCCAACAGGGTGACCATGGGCATTGCTGCCACCAGCCCTAGGCTGGAGCTGCCTGACCTCCTGCTGCTGGCACGGCCTGTGGTGGGCCCCGGGTTGGCGCCTTGCCGCTGCCGCTGTGCCCTGGGGCTGCCGCCAGAAGGGGAGGAGCTGGAGCTCTTTGGGTGAGTCCTACCTATACCTTCCTCCCCAGCCTTGCAGCCCCCTCCCCAGTGGAGCCCCTAACTATGCTTTCTTACCTGTCTGCAGGTGCCTCCCCCCCCTTCCCTATAACCCCCTCTTGCTGCCCCCTGGCACTTCTTAATGCATCCTATTGCCTCCCCCATGCCCCTAATATCCCCCCCAGTAGCCCCTAATCCATGTCCTTGCCTTCCCCAGAAGTAGTCCCCAGTGCCCCTCACCCACACCCTTTGCAGTCCTGGCCCCATACTGTAGCTGCCCTGAGGTGCCAGCCAGCTGCAAATACCACCCCCCCCCAAGTCTCTTAACAGGCTGCCCCCAACTTGATACCCTGGTAGTGCCCCCCCCCCACTAATGACCTTCCCTGACTGCCCCCAGGATGCTGCCCCTGCAGTTCGTCCACCTCTCCATCCACAGCGAGGACCAGTACCAGCTCAAGGTGCACTTGGCCTCCGGCCGGACCTTCTACCTGCAGCTGCTGGCTCCACTGGCCCAGCTGGAGCAGATCTTCAGCCAGTGGGTGCGGCTACTCTCCCGTCTGCGCTACCAGTGTCCTGGGGCAGTGCCGAGGGCTAAAGGGACCCGGTGAGTCTGGGGTTAGGTAAGAGATGGACAGGATGAGGGACAGGGGAGACTGGCTACTGTGGGGGGCCAGCCTGGCTTAGCTGCTGCCCCAGGTCTTCCCCACTCGTCCCTGCTGCCTGCTCCCAGAACCTGGGGTTAGAACCTGGGCATCCTGGCTCCTAGCCCCACCAGACCCCCACCCTCTCCTCCCAGAGCTTAGATATAAGCCAGGCACCCTGGCCCCCAACCTCTCCCTCTGCTGTAACTCATCAGACCCCATTCCACCCAGAGCTGGGATGGGCCTGGCTCCCAGCCCCATCTGCAATAACCTTTCAGCCCCCACTCTCCCAGAGTTTAGATAGAACCCTGGTATCCTGACTGCCTGTGATCTGTCTTTCCTCCCTTCCCCCATAGTGACATTCCAGTACCTCAGGGAAAAGGAAGAGGGGGGCGCAAAGCAGAACCAGCCCCCTCCAAATTGAAGCCCTCTGAGAAGCCAGCTGCACAGGCCTCAAAGCTGAGCAGAGCTTCCAAGCTGAGCAGAGCTTCCATGGTGAGCAGAGCCTCCACTGTTTCCCTACCATCAGAACCTGACTCCAGTGACCAGAGCTTTCTGTCTGAGAAGGAAAAGTCCTAGAGAAGCTGCACCATCCCCCACAGACCAGCGGGGAGCCCCTCAATAAAGTCCCATGATGGACCTGTAGTCAAGCCACCTCAATGCTGCACCCCATTAATGCACAGAGTGCCCCCCCGTACAACCCACCAGAGCCCACTGCCCTCCCAGAGCCAGGAGAGAACCCAGGAGTCCTGGCTCCCAGCCCCCTACTCTAACACACCCACCACCCCAGACTCACTGGTTCCTTTCCATGTACCTCCCATGCCTCTCCCCTGTCCCCATCAATTCAAAGGACAAATGGACTCAGCAGGGCCTGGCAGGGAGCTCTAGGCTCCATTTATTGACAGATACTGGGACAGACTCATGGACAGACACAGACTCACAGTGAGGGGTGAGGAAATCCAAGCATGAGCTGCAGGGGAGGGGAGTCAGGGCTCTGCTCCAGTAGGGGTGGGGGATAGGAATAGCTGACACCCCCCCCAGTTGGCACTGATGGGGTGTAGGGAGGTGGCAGGAGGTGGTGCCCTTTTCTCTGTGTGCATGTCCTCACCCTGCCACACTGCTGTCCTTGGGGGCAGGGGCAGGACATGGCACTCAGTCCTTGCTGTCCGGGGGTCTGTGAGCAGGGAGAGAATAGTGAGGTGAAGAAGGCCAGAGCCCTTGGCCCCCATTAACCACAGCCCCCAAACGCCCTTTCTTTACTAGCCACAGCGTCTCGCTCACTAGGCACGGCCCCAGAGCCTCCTTCCCAGAGCACATTTCCCCCTTCCCCATCTCCCCACTCCCCCACAGGCCTCTCCCCAACTCACTGCTCCCCAGGCAAGTGGCTGCACTTTGGGCTTTGCT